CTCTCTCTCTCTCTCTCTCTCTCTCTCTCTCTCTCTCTCTCTCACACACACACACACACACACACACACACACACACACACACACACACGCAGAGAGAGGACTGAACAGGAAGTCTCACACAAGCCACAAGCCACAAGCCAGGTGAGAGTTCTGTCACTGAGACATTCTCCAGCTCATTTTTCTTACGCAGTGGGCAGAAGGACTCCTCAGCCCCATGTCACTCGGGCAGGACATCAGACAAAAGCTCAGGATGAAAGTGACACATGGGATGGACTAATTACAGGTATCCCCATGTTATGACAAGAACTCTTGTGTCCTGGTAGATGTGGGCAACACCAAACAAACAAACAACACCAAGGAGCTCCTCACACTGAACTAGAAGACAGGTCTAACACAAGAGTGTCCTTACAGGCTTCCCCATCACACCTTTGAAGGCAGACGCTCGGCTGGGGAGCTGGGGCCACAGACAGAGGACACGAGCAAGGAGGTGTAGGGAAATGGTTTGTCTTGGGTGAAACAATTGGACATTTATGTGTGAGGAAACTTCCGCGGAGCACTGAAAGTTTTCTGTTTCCATCTAACGGTTGGAATGTTCCGGGCTTTGGTACCTCGAGGTCTACCCCCAGCCCTGAGAGCGCACAGATGAAAGACAGCAAGGAGGAGGTCACAGGTTTAATGGGCCCATGGGACAGAGTTGAGCTGGCAAGCCCTGCTCTGCCGAGGACCAAAGCATTTTCAGCTTAACCCTAACTCATTATTGTTCGTAGAGACTATTACTGGCCTGGCTTTGGAATGTTCTTTGGAGTTCGGGCTGAGCGGCTTTATGGGTGCCTGCGGCGGCAGAGCGTCCACCTTGCTTGCGGTACAGCAGTAGTCCCCATTGCTGCACGGCTTTTTCAACTTCTCCCCAGACTTGCAGTATTTCCTGCAGTGTCCTCTGATGACCCAGCAAGCTTTGCGGCACCTGCAGACTGACAAGAATCAAGAAAAGCTGTTAATTCAAGAATCGGGGGCTCCTCTGAAGGATCTAGTGGGTCACTCATTGCCTTAGTCATCTCCACAACGGCCCTGGACTCATCAGAGGAAATTATGCAAGCAAAGCAAAAAGTTGGGTTATGACGTATTCTCAAAGATCTCACTGCCAACACCAAAGGAACCCACTAGCTGGTGGGAGCTGGGATTACTTAGTAAGAAG